GTATATACTCTAAGCCAGTGGTATTCAAAGTGCGGCCCATTTAGTGGTTTTATGTGGCCCACTATGACTTACTAATAACTGACTATTTCACGCTTAACCGTTTTATCGGCACTGATGAATAATAGAGATTAACAATTTTTTTCGTTTCCGGATTTTGAATCCTTGGCTGAAAACTGACAAATTTAGTCGTTGCTTAGATGCTTAGGAACATATAATACCTGTTTACATTTAGCTGCTTATGTATTTTGGTGTGCACCTACGAAATGCCTAACATTCGGAACCTCCATATACTGCAGGGAAAATATGTCCTTCCTCGCAAGTGAATGAAGTTAAGGCAAAAGAAAGAGGTTATTTATCGAAAATACAACTTGTAAAAAAGCAGCACCTAGAAACGATGCGTTTACATGAGCCCTGACTTCTAGTAGTAGTAGTTTTCGTTATTAATAGAGATGGAAATATGTGTGTGGATGGGTAGGAATATACAGTTTTCGATTGCTGCTCATTTTTTTAAATGGGACTTCCCGGTTTAAAGTAGCTTGACAACGAGATCGATGGCCAGATAAAGGGCTAACCATGCAGAAATGTTGGATCTTTTTCAATGCGGCCCACTCCAGTTTGACTAACGTAACTAGTGCGGCCCACTCAAAGTGGACCAAAGTGTCCATGCGGCTCTCGCTTCAAAAAGTTTTGGAACCACTGCCCTAAGAGCTCGATGTCAGGGCTTTGGCAAGCAATAGCAGAGGCCCTAATTGCGCATGTATGATTAGTAATAGGAGCTACGGTTTGAACGAGCGAACGAGTTGCCACTGCTTATAATCTCAAGTTTCATTGCTTGATTGGCATATCACCAATCCACAAAATTCAAAATTTTCAAGCGATTCCACGAAATTATTGCATCCATGTGCAACTAATTTACTGTAAGTACACAGTCCTGGGAAGCAGAAACAATTTCCAGATTGACATGGTCCGTGAAAGTGCATAGACTTTTAAACCGTAGTTATGGCTTCAATGTCTGACAAATTTTCAGTTTAATTACGCCTGCTTTCAAATTAAACCCATCGGCTAGGAACCAGCTGATACACTCTTGATGTTCCTTATGAAGCTAAAGGTTTGAATTTTCATCTGCTTCTCAGTCGGAATCAGTCTGAATATACAGTTGGGATCCAGCTGGAAACGACAAGCACAACCAGCTTTAATCCAGCTGGGAACCATCTAGAATCCAGCCGGAAACGACTAGCACAACTAGCTTCAATCCAGCTGGGAACCATCTAGAATCCAGGCGGAAACGACGGACAACCAGCTTCAGTCCATCTGGAAAATTCCAGTTGGGAACCAACCTGGATCCAGCCGGATTTTTGCTCTACCTTCCAGCTGGAATCGGTCCGAATTTACAGTTGGAGTCCAGCTGGAACCAGCTAACAAAACCAGATTCAATCCAGCTGGAAAATTCCAGTCGGGATTTTAAACTGGGTAGGAACGGGAGGAACTAATCCCGCAGCGTGTAACAAAAAAATATCTCTCACTTGGGAACAAGCGCACAGGAATACTTATCCGAAGGGAGCTGGGAACCTGGGAACGCCCGTGAGGAGGAATGGAACTCGGGGTCGCTTTACTCCAAGGAGCAAGAAGTTCAGGTCCTCTTGCAGCATTGACAATGACCTGCATGGGTTTGCTTTAAAAATAGATGTTTTCAGTTTTCGGTGGAGCCAGAGGAAGACGAAGGTATATTTAGTGCAGGTATATGAACAAAAAATCGAAGTTTAAATATATACCGAGTGGCCCCAAAAAAGTCCAAAATTCGTGCGTCTGCAGACGGGACACCATGCTAAGCATCGTCTTGAAATTTTCATTGTCATACCCAATATATCAAGGTGGTTTCAGGAAATTTTCAATCAAATTCCCTGCTCTGAATATGAGTAAGAGCTCTTTCCGTACAAGTCGTCAAATGAGCAAGTGTCAGTGCGTTTGCCGGCGATCGTCGGACACATCCATGGAGACCAATCAAGCAGTTCTTTCATTAAGGCGAGTTCCTTTGCATATTCGCTCTTTTGACATCGCGCTGGAGAAAAATTGTCACTCATGTAGTTTACAACCGATTTCGATGAAATTTTTGTTACATTACCTGCAAACATTGCATGTAAAAGCCTGTAAATTTCCTGTAGATAACTCATATGGTACACCGTCTGCAGGCGTGTAAAGTCCGGAACGTTTTTTTTTTGGGCCACCTGGTATAATTGTTCATGGAGTTTCAGGACATACAGGGATCTCACCAACATCTTGCTGCTCAAAAGGTGTACTGTTACTAATAGTCTGAGAACTGCCGTTTTATAGAAAGCTGCCTAAGTCTGATTTGGGTAAAGGTCTCTAATTAACAGGAAGAAGGGATGATAATTGACAGATTGGCTGTACTCATGTTTTAAATGAAGCAGCTAAAAAAATTAGTACTAAGTGATCCAAAAAACAGAAAGAGTGAAGAAAACAGAGTAGTTCAAAACACAGACCATGAAGTCATGGACTGAGTTTTATGTGGTCTCTTCTCTTTCCAACCCCTTTAACCATTTGAGGAGTTGTTTTTTTTTTAACAACTAGGAGATCACTCATAGTGAATACATGGAGGGCAGGAGGAAGTCACTCTGTATATATACAGGCATACTAGTCAAAGGGTTAAAAATGCATCCTTACTACAGTGACATTTCAATAAGGATGCATTTAAAAAAAGAAAAAAAAACAAGATAATGGGCACTTTGGTGCCAAACAAGGGACATCTGTAAAGTGCTTTTGATGCCACTGCAGCCTGATATATGGAAAAGTTGGATTTTAAGCTTTCAGGAAACTAATTTTAGAACACTTTCTCAGTGACTTATGGCAATTACAAGTCTAGAATCTCCAGAGCAGGTTCACATAAAATGTCAAACAGGAATTTTTTTTTGCACCACCCAGTATAACTGAACTGGTATCAAGTATTTTAACCATCTTTTCAACATAGAGGTAAATGTGGACTAAACCATACTGGAAGCCCTTTTTTTTTTTTAGGGGTCTCCTGATCCTTGTTAGCCCTGATAGTGAACAGGAACAGAAACCATTCATCACCAAGGAGTGATTTATTTAATACACTTTTGAACAGGTCACGGATGCAGGACATAAAATTTTCATAATATTGAGGCAGATCCAAATATAAAGGTCTTACTGTGAATGAAGATTTTCTGCAAAATAAGAATGCTGGCTTTGTAGAGTACTTTGAAACCTGAAATGGAGCTCAAATCATGATATAAAAACAGGCAGGTGTGAGCAAATTAGAGGAAAATTCAACAAAGAGATGTGGAAAATGCATCTTCCATCTTCAAGGCTCCGGTCCTGATTGCTTCAATCTTGTCATCCACCTTTTGTCTCATGTACTTGTAGATGGCTCTATCAACTTCGAGCATGTAGAAGCCCTCTTTAGGAACATCAGCAATCACTTGCTCAATCTCTGCAGCCCTAAATCAGGAATGATAGACAGAGTTAGTATATATATATATATGAATGACATACCATCAGTTCTTTTGCAACCACCAATCTCCAAATATGATTTTTCAAATGAAGACCACTCCATTCAGTTTTAGGTAAAATGTACAAAATCAAATTATAAGGTATAGGTCTGAAAAAAAGTGCTCACTCTTTGCACTCTTCTCTGAATTCCATGCCTAAAATGAAAGGAAAAACCTATTTTCTTCATGATTTTAGGAAATATGAAATCCAGCTTAATTAAAAGGGAAGAAAAGAAGCTGGGAGATCCAGCTCTCTTGGGGAAAGATGAATATTAGTCAATTATCATTCTTCAGTCTGAGAAAAGACAAATTCTATCTAGAAAAACATCAGAATTTTATATTATCTCTTTTGTCTGATAATCAACAAGTTAGGGATCATATTGATATAGAATGACTCACGTGATGGGTCCTTTGATGACTGCAACTTCTGGTGTGCAGCCTTTACTTGGGAAAGGAAAATGCAGGTGGAAGTTGACTTGAAGCTCCAGGTTTAACCAGAATGACTCATGTTCAGTGATATACCTGCATAGAAGACATAGATCCAAAGGAATTGTTCTATTTCAGTGCAACCATGTACTATCACATGAGCATGTCATGTCCTTGACATTAATGTTCAGTTGCTTCCTGAATAGCTTGCATGAGGATAAGAGGCACAGTGGAGAGGAAAAATGTGGTAGAGAAGAGGGATGAAGATGATCTCTGGAGATGAATGCAAATTTGCCACAATCATGCAGTCAATTCAATGCTTCTTGTGCGAGTTTATCATTTGGAAGCTGTTATAGAGCTTCCAAATGATAAACTCGCACAATTGTCAGAAATGAGAGTGCATATGATGGTCCTGCTATATAGACCACCTTTAAAAAAAATAATGCATAGCAAATGCAGGTTGTGTGCTGTGCAGTATTTAGTAAGGCAACAACAGCATTACATTTGTCGGTGTCAGTGACGTAGCCAGGGTTTCGCTGATGGGGGGGGCTAAGCAGAACAGTGGAGGGGGTTTACTTCTCCTCGCTCAGTGGGGGGGGGATGCATTTAAACCAGAGTTGGGGGGGCTGAAGCCCCCCCTCATTATGCCACTGGTTGGTGTAGAAAAGCTTTATTAGTTTGCCTCTCTGCTTCTTAGTCAAAGTCATGAGTTTTCTATCTATGACTGAAAATTATTGCATACTTTCAATAGTGGTTCAATACTCCCAAGTGTGCAAATATGGGAAAAAAATAAAATGTAAAAAATTTTCATGAAGCAGTCTCAAATAAAATCCCATGACCCCGAGTATCCCCCAAAAATTTCACTGTCCGGAGTTCTGGAGATATTGAACTTCAAAAGTATACTTTTTTTTATGGACACCCTGTACTAGCATTGTTTCTGCTGAAGTAATTCTCCCAGTTCAAATTACACTGAACATGCATTTGAATGTTATGTAAACAGAATCAAGTGTTTATTAGGAGAGAGCCAGTACAGACTACCTGGAAACTAGGGTATTTACTTTCTTTTATGAGCCTTAGTGTCTTTGCAGAGAAGACTTACTTGTTCCTATTGAAACTTGACTAAGGCCCTAAATGATACTGTAAACTCAACAGGATCACAAGATGACACACACTGAAACTGCATATTCACCATGTCTGCCATGGTACATCATCAATGACATGCACAGAGTCAAGATTTCCAGAGCAATATTAGTTTTAGTAAAATTAATTCAATGTCATTCTACATGACCAAGTCAATACAGTAAATGCAGCTTACAGTTTCAAGTGATGCAGATTGGTATGGCATGATGTTCCAGCAATGTTGACATGAAAATGTTGGGTTTTCTTCCATTAGTGTTGAACCAAAATTGCAACTAGAAACCTGTTTCTTTCATGTGCATGGCTAGCTTTTCATAGGCAATGTGACAGTTAGGGAAGATATGTCATTCACATGGATATTCTTAAGATTTTCATACCATTTCCAACTACCTAAAAGATCACCTAAGTCTGCAAATGAAAAAGAAAAAAAATAAGGTCTTGAAATAGTAATTTGAATAAGATGTTTGCTTGCTCCTCTTTCATAAGCAATTCTAAGATATACTTTTTTGCATTCATATTAATCTGCTTAACCTCATCCTCTCATACCTTCTCCAAGTACTTGGTCATGTTCAATCTTTCCTTCAGTTATGTCACTTGAGTAAGCATATGACAGTCTAAAGGGGTAGAATTGCAAGGGCTTCAACAATACTGTATTACTGGCTCAAAATACATATTTGATCCATACCCATCAGATCCATTGAATCTGGTCATGCCATGTCGGTGATGGACCCACACAATTTGTTTGATGAGATCACAACAAATCTGGGTATATTCTTCCAGATGACTCATGAAATGTGTGATCTTATGAGTTGTAGGAACATTCTGTTCAACCCAGTTTGCGGAATGTTTGGTAGGTGCTGTTTCCAGGCATACCAGCTGATGAAGACGCTGGCCACTAGTTACCAAGGAACCTGCAGATATAGGCATTTTTTTCCATTACAAGCCATGAAAAATATGATGCCAAGAAAGGAAGTAAGCATATACAAGCTACAGTTATGAAATCTACTCCTAAATCATAAATAAATTACATAAAAGAGAATGATTTATTCTCACCTATATAAGTGAATCTTATATCTTTCACTGCCCAATGCTGAATGCCATCTTCAACTGGAAGTTTCTCCCCTAACAGTACTGAAGCTTGAATAGTTAAGTCACAAAGAATGAAAGTTGCCTCTTCATCATCTTGCTTCTTGAAATACCAGAACCTATGAGGAAGGAAAGGGAACAGCAGTTTTGTCCATTAAGAGACATCCAAGATGAGATGTACTAATTGGAGATCTTGCAATGAGTCATTCTCTAGTTTGTACTACCAAACTTTGATTGCAAGAACAAAAATAAGGTACTGTAAAATGGGGTGAAGGGGGACAAAAGAGGTATGAAAACTGTACCTAATAAAAATTATAAATGGTAAATTTCATTTTTTTACAAGTCAAACTGATTAAACACTCTAAACTTTTAGTACACCATACACTAAGCAACTTTGGTGATTACTATTTATTTCCAGGCAACAGGGAGAAGTCCAGAAGACACTTCAATAAACTTTTTTGGTGCAGCTGCTCCTTTTTGCTAAACATTTTTCCTAGTCTCTTGAGACTTTCCGTCCACCTTACATATATTGGCTGGGTGAATCAGGATAAATATGCCAGGAACATATAAACTGGAAGTTGGCACAAAAAGACACATAAAACCCCATCCTGCAAAAGGTCATTCAAGCCAGCCATCTGGAGAAGCCAGAGTCAGTTCTGGTGGGACTCAGGAGTCTTGCATTTTCTTCACATACAGGGTGAATTTTAATTATCTCCCAGCATTTGATTCAATAATGCTATTATATACAGCAGTCCTAATTATATTTGCATGGGCAGTTTTACAGATTAGACATTAACTTAGATTTCCTGTTCTTTTCCAGATGAGCACCCAATTGACTACTGAGCAGTAGTTGCTGGATTGGCTGCTGAGGACCAATGGAGTGGCCACCGAGGTCACCAGACTTGATACCCCTGGACTTTTCCTCTGGGGTGTTCTCAAAGATCAGGTGTATTCCTCCAAGCCCAGGACAGTTGGGCAGCTGAAAGCCACCATCTAGGCTGCAGTCACAGCAATTGATCAGGAGTTGTGTCAGAAAGTCTGTCGCTTGATCCCTTCCAGATTGCACAAATGCTTGTTGCTCAATGGTGCTCAGAATGAGTTGTAGAAGCTGAGATTTTCTGTATGAGTAGCTCATTTAGCTACTTGTTGGTGTTGAAAACTTAGATTCTTTTTGGACAGTGTCTTTTAAGCAAACACTCAAACCTTGGGAGATAATTAAAATTCACCCTGTATGTTATAGAGCAACAAAGGAATGCATGACCTTGAAGCCATGGTGGGATTCTGAGTCCCTGTTGAGTAGTTCATGACATGTCAAGTTGACAGCAGTCCATAGCATTATAAAGCTGCTGTATTTTCCTCTGGTCCTTCAAAATTGGTGTCATCATTTATATTTATTTCAGCTAAGACATTTCTTTCCTAGTAAATTTGTACAGTCGAACTCAGCTATAACATCATCAAAGGGAACAGGTAAAAACCATTGTCATAACCGAGGTTGCCTTTATTGGCACTCCTGGCATTGCCACATTGGCATTTTCCTGTTTTCAAAATTGATGCCATATAACGTTATAACTCCAGTTTACATTGGTCATACTGCACTAGCTTCAGTTTCAAGATTGATCCACTTATCGTGATGTTCACACTTCTTTGGACCTTGAACTACTTTATACTTTAGTAAGGCTTTGTCGATGTCATCTCAACAGACCTAGGAAGTTTCTTGTTTTGTGACATGTTCTCGTAAGAACGGGCAAAGCTGTCACGATTTTCCCAAATTGTGAAAATAGATGAACAGATGTCCATGTTCGTGAGTGACGTTAGCTTCACTTCGAGCCCTTTCTATTAAACCAAACAAGCACACTTTCCTTTCAATCATGAAGGCTTGCCTCTTTCTTTTTCCATTGGCCATGTTGTCAACGAGAAATGCAAATGGTGACTGAAGATCTTAGTTACTGGGGATTATCCCTCCCTAACATTGCTCCAGCCATACCCACATGACTCTCAAGGAATGCCAAATCCAGGAAATATAAACTTATGGCTTGCCAACACTAATTTTTCTGATGACAGAAATTTAAGTTAAGAATGATGGATTAGGGACATGAACATTGTCAATTTTGTCTGTGGGACCTTCAATGAACTTCGTTATAACCGAGGTAAAATGTAACGTGCCTTATGGGCTCTACGCCAGGACCTGGCACTTTCGTCGTTATAACCAAGGTTTCGTTATAACCAAGTTCAACTGTGTGTGTTTTTGCAAGCTAGATAATGGAAAGTAGTACAGAAATGCTGGGAAACATTCTATGTAAAATAGGGATATGAGTACTAGCTGAACTAATTAAATAGCATGATTTTATTAATTTACTTAATTTCTTTAAATAATTAAAATAAATATTTAATTTTACTTGAGGATAACATTTTAAAAGTACTTTTATGTTAAATAAGCCCAAAATGTATGACATTTCCATGCTTAGATCATAATTTAGGACTGTTCCTTTCTTGTTTTGTAGCAGTTGGTTCAAACTACAGAGGCCTAATGGTGTATTACACTGTACAGTGGTTTGATTTCAGCTATGGAATTTCATAATTTTTGTTACTTACTTCTCTCATATTAAAGATGGTTTTCTTTAATGAAATCTAAACAGAAGGGAGATGAGCAGGACAGTGAGAGGGACCCTGAGAATAACTTCCGTAAAATATAATGATTCAGGATACATATGGAGGACTGTTTTCAATTCTTTTACCCTTGTAAAGAAAATAATACTTCACAGATTGTTAACAATTTAGTCATCACTATAGCTTCTAGGTGCACTATAACATAACTACTGCAATATCCAGCTTAACTTCAAACACTTTGCTTTCATAAACATAGAGAAAAGCATTACTGAAATGTTAAAATAAGAAGTCTGTCTTCATCAAATAACTAACAGTAATTTATCAATGAAAAAAAACCCACAAGAATGTACCAATTCATCTTAGAGTGATGGTCAGAAAATAACATCTCTCTGACAGAAAATTACAGTGCGGTCTATGCAAGCTTCCAAGAGTGTTCGTTTTTGCTGATTGTGTGTTCTTTGACTTTGGTAGTGCGTAGTAGACTTTGGGGTTTGGAGGTGTAGCCATGCATTGTGTTGTTGCAGTTGCAATGCTGACTTTGCCATGCAAGTGCACGAAGCAAGATGATATGTTCACCTGCGCCTATGCAACATGGCAGAAACAGTATCACAGCAACAGCAAAACAACACAGTTACTACATTTTGCAACCCAACATCACTAAAATCAAAGAGCAAACAACCAGACACAGAACAAACACAGGAAAGTTTTTTTTAATCAACAGTACTGTAACTTTCCAAATGTGTAACATTCTGATCATCACTCTTACCCAGAGGAATACTTATCAATATAAACTTGTCATCTCACATGAATGAATTGTGCACCAATATCACCAACTTGTTCTCAAAGATATGAGGGGTGATAAAAATTTCCGGGATTGAATTAATTTTTCTTGATGCTGTGGTGCCTCTTTCTGACTACTGATGGGTACATCCATCAAAGTAGTCCTCTTCAGCATCTACACAAAATTTTTGAAGTTTCTTCATCTGCTAGAATCATTGTTCACACTTGCCTTTTGGAATCATCAGCAGCATCTGTGGTGCATTCATAACACTGCTTTAAATGTCCTGAAATTTCCTTCCTTTTTCAGTTTCGGCGGTTTCTACCCTACGTTTGTCCTACCTACCAATCCCCATGCATCATAAGGCATCTAATGCACCAGACTTAGCTCCTAGTAATTTCTTCTTCCTCTCTAAGCTGAAGGAGATAGGAGATATAAAGCATTCAAAGCAAAATTGTAAACACAAAGTGAGCACTGCTGGTGATTCCAAAAGATAAGTGTCAGCAATGTTTCCAGCAGCTTCAGAAACACCTGAAAATTTCTGTAGATGCAAAAGAGGATTAGTTTGAAGAATATAACCATCAGTAGTCTGAAAGAGTCACCACAGCATCATAAAAAATTCAGCACCAGAAATTTATCGCCCCTCGTATATTTTCATTTAACAAGTGCATTCAACACCATTAGGCCATGTGAAGGGGTAATTAAATTTGTGATAACACTCACCCCACTCCTTTTTGTGAACATTTTGGGAGAGTCTCAAATATGCTCTTTGCTTCTTGTTGCTGTTCTGTTCCCTCACTGGGAGGTGGAAGGAGGCATTTCTCTACCTCAAATGATTCACCCAACATTATCAATGTTTCAGAATGCCTTTCTGCCCTTTGCACCTCTGCTGTAGACACTGGGGGGTTAGGAGAGGACTCTCCATTTACTGCAGAATTAGACTCCTGGGAATCTAACTGGCTTTCCATAAAACTGTCAGCTATTTCTTCTTTGCTAGCCTGACTTGAAGAACCACTCTCAACATCCTCTCCAGCAATAAGCTTCATATTTATGGAGGACTTTGTTGCATGCTCCACTTCAAGTCTGCTTTCATTTGAATGTACATTCTTTCTGTACATCAGATCATCTTTAGTAGAAATGGAAGATGTACGGCTTTTTTCTCCTAGCAATACTGTCACAGATCTTGATTCCTCTGTCAAGTAATCAGATGCATGGCTCCCATCATCAGCTGAGTGACCATCATATGACTCTTCTTGTGTATTGTCACCCTGCTCTTCCTTTGATTGTTCTAAAAGAAAAATTCCAGCCATCAGAAATGCAATATTTAAGGATCTTACAATTAATATTGGTAGTGCAAATGCAATATCATCACTAGCATGGAATATGACTTGGAATAACTTTAAGTAATATTTTTACTTGACAGAGTGCAGGGTATCCATTAAGTGATGATACAAGGACTGCTACTCCTGTTAATAGCTCCCATGGGAGAAGGCATGCTTTCTTAGATGAGTGGAACAATGTAGATGGATGCAACAGGGCAATAGATTGACAAACTCTCTCCACAAAAAACCACAAGCGTTTACTTTTTGTGAGTCATAGGGCTATGCCTACTTCTCCCCATGTGATAAGGCCCTACCCCTCCAAAGATAAATTTTTCTGGTTTCATCTTAATCTGGAGCTGGCTACATACAGCTGTATTCTTCCCTTTCCTTTATACATGAAGGCATTTAACCCCTACTTAACCTTTTCAGACCTGAATTAAGGCCACCATTGGAATAATATACTTTTTTGAATTTTTGAGCTCTTTTCTTATTCTACTTAAAATTTTTAAATATATATATTGTTTTTATATTTTGAGTATATATTTACCATCCCGTACAATATATTATATAGTATACATGTAATTACATAACTGAAGAATATAAAACTGAAGGATGATATATTGCCTCCGACGGAATTGAGCCATGCACGAGTGCATGAGTTCATTGTAGTGTGATATGGGGTGCAAAGTCACAAGAATCCAAATAAATTACCATATAAACAATGAAAATGCAATATCCATTGGAATGGACCTCTGAAAGGGTTAAAGATACCCGTAGAAGGGCAATCACTACATTTTCATCAAATGCCTTCCATGAATTCACTACATGAAAAAATAAAAAGTTATTCTGCATATTGAGTATAACTTGAGGTTTATGTAAGCTGATCTGGTTTAAACTCATTTTGTTAATACTAATGAGATTATTATGCCCCGCTTTATCTTCTTAAATGCCTGGACAAGATCCCTTTTCCCATTACATGTACTCCAGCAAATACAGTTCAAATTCTATTAGTGAAAAACTCTGTGCCCTCCCTTTGGGGTCTGAGCACTTTGGATAAGTCAGCACTGTCCTCCAAGTTTTTTCCATCCCTCATCATGAGGCCAACATGAGAAAACTTGGGCATGGACCTCAAAGGGTTAAGTAGCTTGTCTCTCCTCTCTAGCAGCATTAATTCCCTTCATTTGCAGGGAACACATGGAAGATATCCAGAAGTTCCCATATGAGATTTTGCATTTATTGGTGTTCCATTTGTCAACTGGTTTTAAACCCAGGTCTTGCTGACATTTTCCCCAGTTCACATGGAAATACATGCATATGGTCTGGTTTGAAAATGAAGTTTGTGCAATGACTCAAAGAGAGATTGCATACTTGCAAACATCGATGAAGGAAAATGAAGATAATTGAAGAAAAATACCAATGATACACTTCATGATGGAAAACTGGCTTTTGTGATGAGACAGAATATGAATATATGGTGACTGGGTGATTACCCACACAGCCCAGACACACTCCAAGGACATTTCAACTGGATGATTTGTCCCCAAGCTCTTGATGAGACATCCATGCATGCTAAGTATCTCAATTAGCCTAAATCAAACATTCTAACAACATGTTGAGATTGTCTTCAGAGATGTAATCTTGGCACCATCTCACAATTAGACTCTCAAGAAAGACCCAATAATAAAGTGGGTTAAGGGGATAAGAAGAGGAAACTGGCTCCTTCAATGGCACTGTCCTCTTCTCCTATTCCTTAAGCATTTGCCAAGTTATGTTTGGATAGCCTCAACCCATGAGGTTGAAACTCTGCTAGACTTTTCCACGTCTTCATAAGTTCTCCTGCCATGCTTTATGACTTAAAATCCTTCTAATCTACCAATTTGGAGGATTAGTATGACACCATAGCTGCTGTTGTATTGGGAGTGTGTAGCAAGTTTTCTCTGTAAATATTCATCCCACACTCTTGACATTCTGAAAAATCACATGGGGCACTAGTATGAGCTTATGTACCAAATTTCAGCAAAATCACTGAACTCCTTGATTGTGCATTTTTTGTCAATGTGTAAAGGAGAGGGAGCAGGTCTACAAAATTCAAGTAAGTCATTTTTGGATGGGTACCTAACACTCTCTGCCCAGTTCTTTTGGATAGTACTCATGATCAGTTATTAATTCAATTATTAAAAGCTAGACCGGCAGCCATGGAGGAAAATATATCCTGCATTGGGGTTTTCAAAAATAGCTAACAGTACTGATATGAGCATTTCCTAAAACAATATTTTTTTAATGAACATTATATTAGAACACCTTTAAATAAAGACAACTAGGGAACATTCATTTGAAATATAATTGTAAAATGAACAACAAAATGTACCTCACACTTTCAAAACAGGCAAAATGTCACTACATGTGATCTATGAAAATGCTTCAGAGCTACAATATTTATACATACTGAAAAATGATGAAACAGAGAGCCAGCTTTAGAAAAAAATGGAAAAGGCAACTTACCTGAGTCTTCATCAGATGTTAAATGAGACACTGAGGGTTGAAAGATATCAGTTCCACAAGCTGTAACATCTGAAAGATCAGCAGCAATGTCTTTGCACCTCTGTCCTTTTCTCAACAGATCAGAAATTTGCAAAGACTCATCAAGATGGGACTCAAGTGGCATGCTCTTTGATGGACAACTTTCCCTGCTATTCAGGAAAACTGTTTCCACTTCACACCAAGATGCTGTATCTTCTCGTCTCTTCTTCTGGGGGATGTCATTTTCTATGCATGGGGAAGTTCGTTTCATTCTACACTTCATTATGTCATCTTCTTCATCACTCTCCTGGAGCCAATCATACTTATTTGATGAGGGACCAAGTTTATCAAGTGGCAATATGTCTTCATATTCATCCATGAATGATGCCTTGATACTACAGCCAGTTTCTTCCAACTTTTCACACTCATGTGTGCTCCTGTTTGCTCCTTTTTCAGCTTTTGAAGAACCATCCAAATTAATTGTCTTTTCTTTGGTTAAATACTCTTCTTCCACATACAAATTTGACTTGTCCTGAGTTGGCTTGGATTTATTTGAAAGCTTACAAGAATGAATTTCAGATGACTCATGCTCAAGCAAGTCCTTCAAGGAATCAACTTGGACCACCAAACTTCTGTTTTTCAATCTATTATAGTTTCCTGATGCTGGCTTTATGACACCAGGGGATTTTCCCTCCTCTCCTTCGTTTAGAGATAGTTCCATGCTAGCTGAACTTTTTTCCAAGATATGCTGTGAACACTGTCCTGGGCTCAAGCTCATTTCTGCTGAGGGATCAGGGGAGTTTGGTTCCAAGTTTGGTTCACTTGTCTGGGTGTGATCTGATATTTTTATACTGGATTCAACCAATACTGGTTCTGCCTCAATGGTACAGCATGACTCTGGCTTCTCCAAGTTCAAGTGAACAACTGGTGAGGGAGATTGTGCTTCAGGTGACTGCAGTCCATGCATATCCTTCGAGAACTTGAGTGGAGCTTCCAAATGTTGACCCCCTATTCCAGTATTATTGAAAGATGTCTGTTTTGTGAGGGTAGGAGACTTTTTTTCCTGTCCTTCATTTAAAGAAAGTTCCATGCTGACTGAGCTTCTTTCCAAGCTATGTTGAGTACATTGCCCTGGGCTCATGCTCATTTCCAATGAGAAATCTGGGCTGTTGCTCAAATTTCCTTGAGTTACCTTGGGGGAATCCTTTAACATTTTTTGGCTGGATTCAACCAACACTGGTCCTACATTTATGCTGTGTGGCTTCACCTTAGTCTGATCCAAGTGACTCTCAAGTGACGAAGTTTCCAATACAGGTGACTGATGTTGACACACCTCCTTGAAGGGCTTGACTGGGGCTTTCAAATTTTTACCTCTCAATTCAGTATAATTTCCAGATGTCTGTTTTATGACTGTTGGAGATTTCTCCCCTTCCCCTTCAAGTACAGATACTTCCATGTTGACTGGGCCTTTTCCCAACTTATGCTGGGTAAACTGTCCTGGGCTCATGCTCATTTCCAATGAGAAATCAGGACAAGCAGCCAAATTTTGTTGAGTTGTCTGGCTGTGGTCTTCTGATATTCTATGGCAGGATTCAACCACATCCAAGACATTATGCATCTCAATTTTGGTCAGGTCCATGCCATCATCAACTGCTAAGTCTTCATTGTTTCTTGGAGATTCTCCATTAGAAGTAATTCTGTTAGAATCCATGGCTATGGCATGCACACCATGAGTTTCAGGAGCCACATGAACACTTATACAGCTGACATCCATATCATCCACATTCACTGTTGGCCTTGCACCAAGGATATCTCTATGGTTTTGTTGATCATTAACATTGGTGACATTTGGAGAAGGCATCTGAGAAATTTCCATGCCCAATGATAAATGATTTGGGTTGGTAAGATTCTGCTTATCATCAGTAGGCAAAGTTGAAATATCCATATCATCTGCATTCACAGCTGGACCAACATCAAGGCATTTTCCTAAGCTTTGCTCCTCATCATGGCCATATGTGGTATTTGGAGAAGGCATGTGAGAAATTTCCATGCCCACAGATAGATGATCTGAGTTAATAAGATTCTCCTTATCATCAGTTGGCAAGCTTGAAATATCTGCATCACCTCCAGTCTCAATATCTTCACTTTTATTCTGACCTGGAGAAATATAATAAACTTGATTTAATTATAAACATGGCAGCAGGCAGGAAACCTCACATTGAGACACATGAGGGTCTATCAAAAAGTTCACAGAAAGTTCTTTGGGTACATGATCTCCTTCAAAATAGTGAGTGAGTTTATGCATTTTAACAGGCAGTAAATACAGTCATTGCATGTATGTCTGCAGTGCACTTATCATGGTACACATAATTACATCCCAATTGGAAAATCTGCCCCCTTTAACCCTAAACCCTTTTCACTTTCCTCCAATTGGATATACTGGGAACAAGTCTTGCTTCCAGTATCTCCCATTGGAAGTGTCCTATGGAGAATCCTCTGTTATGGATCTTAAGGTTGTGGTACTCACATTGGACTCAGCAGTAGTGACACCATGTTCAGGCAGAACTTAATATCATAGATCATAAAGCTATATGATGACTGCATTGATACTGCTTCTAGTTTTGCTGTTTGCTGTTCTGTTTTCCTTCAAATGAAAAACTTTCCAGAAGCTTCTTTCCAATGTCTTGATTCTCCTATAGAGAAGGTTGAAACACTTTTCTGGTCTCCCTTTTAGTGACTATAGTTGTCATTGGCAAGCAGCCACCACATGATTTGCATTGATTAGAATAGGGAACAATACAAACATGCACTCTCACCCATTTACATACCACATCATCAATTTTAAATTGGCCTATCAACAATAAAAAAAAAGCATGAACCTTCAACACATGTTTTCATTACCTTTTCTGGGCAAAATTCTTACTTTACCATATTGCAAATTTTCTACAAGATGGTATGAGTACAAGTTTCTCTGAATTTGAGAAATCATAAAAAAAACACAGGTAACATTGGAATCTGGATTCCACAAAGGTCCATGCTTCTCTGGTTACTGTTTTGCAAGCAGAACTCTCAATAGAGTTACTAGAAAGTTTAATAGGCTGAATTTGGAGACTATTAATGGTATATAATGCATCCTGAATCTAATATATCTCTTTTGTTACCCAGTATACAAATTAAAACTTGCTTTTCTACAAAACTCAGGAACACATGTTCTTGGATAGGCAAAAAACACATGAAAAAGCAACTCACATCCTGAAGACACTAAATCCATGATTGAGAATGTAGCATTCTTTTCCTCCCTTGGTTCACTCCTAGATGCAAAATGGAAAACATATAAAAGCATACATCATATGATAGCAAAGTTGAAAAAAAAAAAGGTTTACATCCTCAAAAAGTTAAAATTACAATCCTCCTAATAAACACGAGTGTCTGCTGAAAGCTAATAAACTCAGTGTTTGTTATGGAGAGAGGCAGGGGGGGGAAGCCTGAAAAGCTTAATAAACATGAGTTTTACATTTAATACCATATTTTGAACTGCTTGTTGAAGATTGTGTGTGTTGTGACCTGGCAAACAAAGGTACCTCCATCAGTCCATCGTAGGACCAAGCTGTGAGTCAGTTTTTGGTGTGCAGGTGTGAAACCATGTGAAATCCATCACACAATGGTTGCTATTTATGAAGAGGCCTGTTTGTCCCAGAGAAGATGTGAATGGTGCAAAATGTTTTGTGGCAAGCACCCAAATGTTAGAGGAAAAACCCCAACCCAGACAGGTCAATGTCATCATCATGAACTTGAACATCGAGAAAGTGGATGAAGTGATTAAAGCAAAGAGATGCACGTCTCTGGGTGCCATAGCAACAGAAGTGGGTATTAGCCACAAGTCCATATACACAATTGCCCAGGACAGCCTCCAATACCATTTTTTGCGTGCAAAATGGATACACAAGTGCCTGATCAAAGACCAGAAGAATGTCGAAATGGGTCTTTGTCTCATGCATCTGCAGTGCTACCTCGATGAAGGGGACAGTTTTTTGGTCAGAAATGTGGCATGTGATGAAACCTGGTGTCATTTTGCCCAAGCCAAAACATGCCAGCATGCAGGAGGCATTCTCTTCTTCCCAACAGAAAAATTTCCATGCAACTGCTTCAGCAGGGTAAGTGAATGTGCTCTTTGACCAACATGAGCAACTCCTGAACAATTTTTTGCCCTGTGGGGAAATGGTCAACTCAGAGTGACACTACAACACTTATGCAATAAACTTGGTCATGCCATCAAGAGCAAATGTCCTAGACTATTGACAAAGAGCATCATTCTTCTCCACAACAAAACCCAACCTTATGCTGCTTGTGCAAGTGACCACCATTCAAAACCTTTGTTGGGAGATCCTTCATCATACAGTCCACAATTGTCACTGTGAGATTTTCACATATTCAGCCCTATGAAGAGGGCATTGAGGGGCTAGCAATACCATTCATATCATGAAGTGGTAGATGCAGTGAAAAAATGGTTCCACCAGATGCCCATGTCATTTTACCACAATGGCATATAAAAGTGGTTGAGCAGTGGGACTAGTATCTTAATGCCATAGAGAATATTTTTAATAAACATTCCATGCCTAGCCAATAGAAATTCATTTGGGTTTTCATTTGACTGGCATTAGTAAATATTGCCAACCATGTCCCAGTATCCGCCTAAGCAATGGATAATGAAGATGCCAAGTAAGGAGCTGTTAAACAAAACAATGCTGAAAAAAGAAAATCAAGTTGAAAAAATCTGATTTAAATAAAAAAGAACATGAATTTTGCTAACTCTGGTTTAACCCTTTAATGCATTATTTTTTATTTTTCAGCTAAAGAAATATGGTAAGTTTTACTCAGACCATAGAATATCTTTTTTAGATTATGGGATAAGTAGAAAAATATTTTCCTTCAAATTTGTAAGCAGTAGGCCTGAAAATGTTATTATTGCTCATTTGCTATAAACACCATTTCCAGCTTTCTAACCCATGTTGCATGGACGCTAGAGCTCAGTTGGTCCATCAACATAACATACATACCTCTGCACAAAAGAAAATGTTAAAATATGGATGAACCTGGATGCTGGAATAACATAAAGTTGAAGATGATTGCACGAAAAACCTCAATCTGTCACACGACAAAGCCAGGTGCTTTTAATTTGCGTGCCACCTGGAGTGTATAGTACCTAGTGACCCCATGGTTGCTAGGTATAAGGAATGCTCCAGTGATGTGGAGAATCTTGTTCTTTCCTTTGAAACAAAGAGGTTTCACTTCACCAGGTAATGTAGCTATGTGGTTAACACTTCCAACACCTTAGATGACTTTGTATATTTGCAACCCAATCAATAGCATAACCAACATTCACCAATGCCTGATACGGTAACCAGCACGGCAACCAACACCATTCCCTCTCACTTGGACAACCATTGCTCTAAGCTCTAGTATATGAAAAACTTGGCTTATCCATGATGAAAACTGGATATCTGACTCAAGGAACATACTTGTCACAGTCCAGACGAGTTGTATTGTGCAAGCCATCTGATGTATCCACTTCATGATGTTCATCAACTGCAACAGTTGAGGACCATCTAATTGGCTTGTGAAGTAAATCTTCCACATGAGACCCTCCATCCATATTCCTAGAATTCCAGGAAATATTCATCAGTCAAAGGCTCTCAGTTGCATTGCAGATAATGAACTCCCAGTCCCTCACTTGAGAAAAAGGCAGATCAAGTTATTGCATTCGTTGGTCTGTTGTCAAAATTATCTACGTCTCTGCCAAGTAATAGGAATGCAGACACGAGGAGAAAATTCAAGTGCTTGTGGCTTATCAGAATTTGAGGAAGTAAAGAAACAAATCTACAAGAATGATATCATCGCTTAAGGTAAAATCATATAAGTTTGGAAAGTACACAAGTTCAGACACTAACATAAACTGTTACAAAATCAATCATTCATGATCTATCCCTCAGAAACAGTCATTTACTACTAGGAAGAGCCCTATCTGAGGATGACCTTGTAAATGCTTGGTTTTATAACAATTGATTTTATGGTGTCTGAACTTAGATGGTTTTACTCTACAACAGCATTAACTTATAATCCAAAATCTATTCCAAGTTGCTCTGCCTTTCCTAGTCAATCCACTTCGTGGTACTGCAAGAGTAAAAAAATAACTTTTAAAAACACCATCAGTTAAAAGAATGAATGAAAGAAGAAAGTTAAAAGAAGGTAGGAATCGATTGTGATAAGTGCATAACTTTAAAGAAGATATACAATTGTTCTGGTGATTTTGGCCTTGGGAATATAGTAAGTCTAAGTATTGAAACATGAACTTCACCTGAGAAACTATTGAATATATGCTGAAGTTTAGGCTAGATATGTTGAAAAAATGCATAACTTTTTACTTGCTGATAAGGATCAGTACAATGTCACTTTGTGAAATATTGGCAATGCTTCTTCTGGAAAGTGTACTCCACATCATCAGGCTTTTTACTTAAAAAATGATATGTGAAGTCAAACCTTGAAACACGATGTTCCAAGGGCTGGGGAATATTCTCACTGTCAGGATGGTAAGGTGAAGTGATGGAAGTGTCATGCTGGAATGTCCTGAAATAAAGAGCAAGAGTTCATTGCAAACACTGGTTTAAAAAAAATTCCAGTCAAGAGCTTTCTTTAAATGACATTAGTTCTAGTGATATTCATAAGAAGAATGACCTGTAGCAGGGTTCTCCTAAGTAAAAGGCTTCAAACAGGTAAGCCAGTTCAGGAAGCATGCACAAATAGAGTAGAAGGAGAGTAACTACAACCACCTTAGCATGAAACTCCAGTTTACCAGCTGCCACATTTGCATGCTTTGTGGGGAAGCCACCTATAACTTAAAATTGTGTTATTCAGTACTATAGCATTTATATCAACAATTAGCAAAGATTATCCTAGTCTGATAGAAAGCATCTAAATCTGATGGTTGCAGTTCATATTCTTCACTCCTCAATCCATGAATTTTTTGCTTTTAAGAAAGCCATATTTTATTTTTGGGGTGGTTAGAAGGGGTGAAACAGACTCTTAAGACTTATTCATGAGGTAAGTCATACAAGAGTATGATAACATGACAGTTATCAATCCTGCTGAAGACAAATTGCAAAATGCTTGCCATATCCAAATGTGGTTTGGATCACTCTGACCAAATGCAAGAAGCTACTTTGCAGGCCTATTCCCAGGTAATTGAGGGCAGATACAGGCAGGCTGGGAAAACCTTTGTGAAGCTGCAAAAAAAGGTTCATGGGACTGAAGGTACTCATTCCCGGTGCGGGGTGTCCCAGAACAGATCCCTACAGATTCGAAAGCATACAGGTTTTTGAGATGAGTACGAAGTATGCGAACACTAGATGTTAATGAACATAATTTTTATTACAAAAGAAGCATATAATCAGAACTAAAACTAGTCACCATATGGATAGAAATGTTTACCATTCACACGAATGCACAGTTCTATGGCTAGGTGCACCAGTGAATTTTAAAAAGTATCCTAAATTGTTCTGAAAGTATTTCCGATAGCCTCTCAAACTTCAGCAAGTTTTAGGGATTTTGGGAAAACACAATTGATTTCGATTATGCCCCAGAAAGCATTATTAGAATTGGAAAATTTTTTACTGAGTAATATGCCATTTTGCTATGCTTTCAAATCCATAGGTAATTCTATATAGGTAAACAGATAGTCTTCCCCTATGCACTATGAGACTTCATATACTCTACTCCCTCACATCTACAAATTATTCATCAGTAATCAACTCCAAATCCCTTCTAATCAATTCCATCATGTGATGGAATTCTTCTTCTTTTTATTTATTTTTATTAATATCCTATCCTTCCAATGTCAAATCTGGATGGAAGAGTGACCCCTGCATACCATTGAAACTAAATTTATTTCATCCTTGAGAGTGCCAAAACTTGTCAATCATTGGGCTTTCATATACATTGTAGCCTCTGAGCTATAAAATTGAAATTATACATAGCATTGCATAATAGGACAAGGTTTGCAGGTTAGTGATTTTCTTTCCTTTCCCCAAATTTCCCCACAGGGCATAGCAGCTCTAAATAGTCTGTTTTATGACATCTTGTTCTAAGATAATATTATATACTGAACAACTTTCTAATATGGACAGCACTAGGACACATATACAGAACCAAATCTATAAGATTCAAATATCTACACACTTGGCAATCTGCCAGGCATGGAAGTAAGGTAATGTTCAATGTTTTACTCACTTGACTTCATGAGTTTCTGCAAAGCTCACTCTTCTGTAGCTCCTTCTGAAAGTCACAGTCTCCTCTTGAAATGAATCCAAAGCCCCTAATACTTCCCTTGGCGGAGTCTTTGGGAGCTTCAAGATCTAAGTAAGGAGAAAATCACAATGAAAATGTTGCATGTTTTATTAGTATGGGTTTTTCAAGGACCCTGAAAGGCAATCAGTGAATCAATATTCTTTCAGCTTGAGAGACTCAAATCATTCCATCTCTGTCTCAGGACCTAAAGAACTTTGGGCCTCTTAGTATGCAGGCAGTCATAATAGAAAAAAACCTGTCAGCATGTCTACACTGGCACATGTAGTTTCTGGAGCCTGTGGATCATGATGTTTCGACCACAACAGCATCTTGATATGTAAATATAATGCTATGTAAATCAGAGTAAATAGTGGCCAAAGTGTGACATAACTTTATTTTTCTTTAGCAAAAGTTCCAATCAACTGTTTCATTATTAAATCTGTTCAAGTTTAAAGCCTATAGGTTCTTTATTTATTTAAAGATAATGTGTACCACATAGCTCATGAACTTCTATAATTATAAATTATGCTGCTGTGATTTGAAATGATATGACTTGTTGAAAGTGTAGCATGTGTTTGGAGGATACAGCACCCTTAAGAATTTCAGGAAAAATCCTAATTTTGGGATACATCCTCTGGGGGTAAAATATTTGGCAATAGCAATTTCTCTTAAACTTTTTTGCACCAGTGAAAATAGGCAGATATAACTAAAATATGTAGACAAGAAGTGTTTCTTGAGAAACCCTATTTTAGGGTAGATCCCATGAGGGAACTTCATTTTTTGGAGTGCAGTGGGGCATAGGAGAAACTTGCTTCTTTGTGGAGCAAAATGTTTGTTCCAGTTTCAATACAAAAGGTATTGTATGAAGGAATACAAAGGGAGGAAAGAGAGGCCATGATTTCCAAGATATCAACACTGCTGCCAATTCCCTTCAGATAATGATGATATTGATTTACTATGACACTGCAAATGGATTATAATTTTGTTTTGAAACAAATATGCAGGCCTAGGCACCTACGTAATGTTTAATTGCATGGCTATGAGAGACAAATCAGTTTGGAATAGGGTAGAGGCACCAGTTGATTTCCATGTTTTCTGCCTCCAATACATAAGAATTTCACACCTGTGACTGATACTCTCTAATGGGCATGCACATAAGATCAAGCAGTCAAGGATTTGAATTTCCAGCATTAGTTTTTTTTAGGATGTCAGAGAAACATGAAATAATCCACAAATAGCCAGCTGCCTATAAACTGGCACCGCTACCCTAGGTGGCTAAATGGGGAAGATCATCTATTAAAAATGGTAGAACATGGTGATGAAATTGTTTCTTTCAGTAAGTACAAGAATGCTACCAAATTTAAAAATCAATGTACATGAAAAGCTTAAAAAAGGCACACTTAATTCTTGGGATAAAATCTATATATCAGCATCTGAAATAAATTTTTTTTTTATCACTCCCTCAAGGTACAATGGAACCAGAGACAGAATTTTTTTTATCTGTCTATGGTATAGCTGTTATAAAGGGATTTTCTGTACATCATTTCTTGGCATAAAAATAATGCATATAATAAGACTGTAACAATGACTGATTTTGGCTTCATTATGCCAATAGAAATCTTATAATGTATGATACAGTTTAATCTTAAGAACTAAATGCTATCTCATGACTATATATAGAATCCAGCTCTAGAGAATTCTGATTAAGATCTAGTCCTATCATCATCAGAAGTTATTCCATGTAGGTATTTGCAGGTTAGTTGTCTCAACAGTCCCTATCTGCATTGTAATATACCAATATGTTGACATGCTTTGAACTCATTCATTTGATATTAGTGTGAGTTTTTCTGCAAGCCATGTCTAAAATTAACATCTTGTGCTCTTACTTTTCAAGTGCCAAATGACCCACACATTTTAGACCTGTCATGCAGTTGACACACCTCAATGGACTTAAGTGAGCCATCTATACATGTGACTTAGCAATAACTTAGGCATAACCTATGATTGGTCTATCATAGTGACCAGATATTTTTCAGAAAAAAATATAAATTTTCAAGAAAATGCTCAAATGTTAGTCGTTGCAATGTGAAAAGCTAGGACACCATAATGGAAGGAAAATTCATTCCTTAAGATTTATTGACTGCTATACATCCTTGTGTTCTGCCAGAATGTCAATGGATTTTAGTTCATTCTATTGGCTCTTTGCATCCCAAGAAGTCCCAGTTTTTGGGAATGAATAATATCTGGTCACCTTATTCTATCATCCATCTGGGCTTTAGTGCTGCTACTAAGAGAAGATGATTTGGCAACTTCACTCACTGATGATCGCCGACATATTTTCTCGTCTGAAAATCCATCCATCTTGAATGCAGCTCTGCTCAGGCCTCAACTATCTCATCCCAGGCTATCATGTACACTGAAAGTCAGGTCTCAGCCAAAATTCAAGGATTGTTTGTCCTGATTTAATTCAGTCAGGCTGAGGCCAATTCAATATTTATTAGATCTGCAATAGAGACATATACATGACGGAATAAATATAGCTACAAAAGCAATAACTAACAAACTGTTGGCAACAGTTTTCAAACTAGCAAAAATGTTCATATAAACATCTGCAAAGCCTGCATAATTCTTAGTTTTCAATGTAATAATATGAAGTTCATTTACAAGTAATGCAGTGGGAAATGCTATGTTCAGTCATCAGGTGCTATGTCTATAGTTTTGTGCAACATAGTTTAAATTGGGAGTTGATTTTCACATAGAAATGTCCACCCCTAGACGTCACACAGTTATATGTTCATGGCACATTTTGGTCTTTCAATTCCTAATAGTTCTAATTATCAGAAAAATACAGATGATATTCTCAAGTTCCACTGCCTCTGCTCTCTGGTGCTGTTTTGTCTATAAGCATGATTTCAATTCATTTTTTTAAAATTGGCATTCCATTTCTGTAGGCCTAGTTATAAGTGGGGGTTTGCAAACTAACTTAGACCTCTGAAACTGTACTGATGTCACCATGCAGAGAGGTATGTTCTGATGTAGCACTGGCATAGCATAATAGTTTAACGAAGGCTAAATGAAATCTCTCTGCGATACATACTCTACGATGTGTTCCATCACTTCCAACCGGATTATCCTGGGGCGAACTTGTCTTAGCTCTTATGAAAATATCCTTTCTACTCCAGTTCTATTTTCCTTCCTAGCTGTCCTTTCCCTTTTTTATGCAATATTTCGTCCCATCTGAATCCTCACGAATGGTCTTTAGGCATTTCTAGAGAAAGGAAGATGCTAAATTGCCCAGACCTCATCGTTTGGTAGGCGATGTCATGGGCCCACGGCACCGACGGCTAACTTAGTGGTGACGACATCATTCACAAGTCCAATCAACTCATACAACAGACTAATTTCGCCCGTTCTCAGTAGGCTCTATCCACTAGGTAGCACCCACTCAACTGAACCCACGCTTAGCTCACAAATTTTGAGAGGCATCCCCCAACACCCTCCTTTTCTCGTAGCTGATCACAACACAGGCTCAGAAATGCCGCGTTGCGCCTGGTTTGAACGAGAATCAGTGTTACACGCCCGCCTTCGTTCGTTCGACAACATCTACGAGAGTTTCTCTATCACACTATGAATTTTGGAAGAAAATATATTTCAAGATAAGTGAAATGTTTTGGAAATTGCAATTTTATGGTTGAGCCTATTTTTGCTTGCCTTGATTTGGTTTTGCGGCACATTAGATCGAATGAAAATAACGTCTTCCTTCCAGCCGCACCGACGACAGATGTCGCACCGCACGCGTGAACAATGTCTGCTTACAGTTCACCAGGTAGCCACCCGCCTATCATGTGTTCGATGCCGTTAATATGCGACGTAGCGGTGTGGCCCTACTGCATGACTTATATGCTGGTACTGTCTCTCGTAATTAGGGAAAAGGAAAGTATTCTCGTCTGACTGAGCTACTGAGTTGGCCTACTAGCCCTGGTAACGAAAGTATGGAACGCCGGTGCCGTAAGGTGTAGAACGTCTAGGATCAAGTAGTGGATATATCACCGGCTCGATGGGAAGTATGAAGTATTGGCTAGTATATCATTTACTGCATCACCATCAGCCATTTACATATTTTTCTTTGTTTTTGAATGAAAAAAGACCTTTATGTAGATATATAATTTTATTTCTCTTATTGTCAATAGTTATTCAGTTTTAAGTTTCTGAATTCACTGTGCTCTTCATTACTGAATATGACGAATTACTCATTGGGTGTACTAGCCTTCAAGCATTACTAGATTATTACAATGTTTGAGCAGGACCTTATTGTTATTACCCCACTGGTGAACCTTTACTCTCCAAGTGTAATTGAATGCAGTCAGGATGATTAGCTGGATTTAAAAAAAACTCAGAGAGAAAAGTTTGAGCATGCTAATATCACTAGCCCATATGTGCAGCCACATATGCAAGACTCACACAATACTTAATATATGTGAAACTCTACTCAATATCATTAGCACGAAGAACTTTGAATCTTGGACATAGGAAAATTTCAACATTATTTTTCTCAGCAGATTGATGAGCTAAATTGTGTGGAAGGAGTCTTGGCTTGACCCCCTGAATTTGACTTCATTTTTCTAGTAAACTCCAAGAAAGTATGCACTGCTTCTAGATGCTGCATATTTTAATACAGGAAGATTTGAAATTGCAAAAAGGACCATATTGTGTTGAAGGAAACAAATTAGGTGGAAGAATTTTGAGGCATATTATTTAAAGTGGAGATTGCAAGTCTGTCAAATTTACAGATGAGAAGTAGTGCTTACATAATTAACAAATTAATGCTTAGATAAAAATAAAGGAACATGTGCTTTGCTCTGATAAGCTCCCTTCATTCCTCTTATGCTGAAGTTTAGGGCATAACATCCCAAATGCTATCGCATCAAATAGAAAAGTGAAGAATTTGCAGTGGGATTACATCCAATGGCATCAAGAAAATTAATATCAGTTTTATGCTTCTTATATTTTCAGATCTTGTGATTTGAAATTAAATGAAGCTTAAATATAATTAATATTAAGCATAATATAATGAAAATAGAAGCTGATCCTTTATGTATTTGATCATTCATGGACTCAATGGTTTATGGTAAATGCTAGCAAATGCATAGAATATGAAAAAAAGGCACAAAAATGTCCATTATAAGACTACGATCCATTGTGTTCCTGTCTGAAGCTTTCCATGCGCTTACCTATGCCACTAACCACACATGGGAATGTTGGCAAAAGAGAGGAGGTTGAGGCCACAAGTCTGACTAACATACCCTATCCAGAAAGTTTCAGCCATCAGGTGTTACAGCTGCAGATGTAAGAAGTTGAGGCAGCACCTAACGCCCCAGAAGCAATCCCAGCTTAAGTCCATCTGCCAGTGCTGCAATTAAACTATCGATTAGCTCAACCAGCCTCATGACTGAAATGCATGGTAGACTCAAGCCTGTGAAAGGAATGAAACAAGAGCATGGCTTGGAATGACTCAAGCCTATGAAGGAAAAAGAAAAAGGAGGGGAAAGGCTAGGCTTGAAATGAGCCTATCAAACAAAAAGTGTAGCCAGGAGAAAGACCCTACCATGCATTCAGCTAACTGTGTCCTGCACTGACAGATTGGAATGATGCCCAGATTGCTTCTGCTACCTTCAGACCTTTACCTCGAGGCACATTAGGCCAATAACACTCTACCCAACCATGACAAACTGAATAAGTGGTATCTAGGTATAGGAAAGAGCCCAATCACTGGAACCTGTTCTAAAGCACCTTTCACTTTATCTTTCTTGAGCTTTGCCCCATAGCTGCAAGCAATTTCCAATAGTTGGACTTGGGTCTCTATGTTCTATGCTTCTGGGTCCAAAGGTTAGGCATTTTCTATTGCCCTTGGGTAGGTTCAGCACCAAATAACTTATTTTTATCTGTCTGTGCAACTTGGTTGGGGGCATTTTACTGCCCAGCCAGGCAATTGCCTATTTAGCCAATGTCTTTCTTTAACCTTAGGTTCATATATACGAGGTTCAGTCAATAACTAAGGTGAATTTACATTTTTCATGGATATTATATACCCATTATGTACTCATAGTTTCCATGATATAAAGTTGGCAACGTTGTCACTAATCAGTGTTTAAAACGGCTTTCCTTTTGCACCGCTGCTGAACAGCAAATTGTCATTTGATTTTTACTGTCATAAAGAGTTAAACCAAGAGAAATTTATGTAGAATTGTGCACAATATGGGGACAGTTGTTTATGATCCAAAAATGCATACAAGTGCTCTGAACTATTCAGAAACTATTCAGAAAGATACACACGGGTAAGTTCAGGGATGACATAGACTTTCAAAATGCTGTGCTTAATTGGCTAGGTTCTTTACCTAAAACGTTTATCTCTGATAGAATCAGGAAGCTTGTCAGTCACTGGGATAAATGTGTTTAGGAAGGAGGAGATTAAATTGAAAAATAGTGTATGTTCATGTTTCTGGAATAAACTTTTGTGAAGCTATACTTAAATTTACCTTATTTATTGACTCCCCCTCATATACATACAGTGGATTCCACTTAATTGGGCCATCAGTTAATGGGGGCAGCTGGTTTATCAGGACATTTTGTCAGGAACAGAATCATTTCTATGCAAGTGCATTAAAATTTCGCTGCATATTTGGGATGAAAATCCGTATTATTGGGGCAAGGTCGGGGTCGGGGGCAGCTGCTGGTCTGAGATGGGTTTCCCCGTTTCTTCTGTGGATTTGAGACATTAGTTCGGGTTGGATTTTTTGTTATTTTTTCTGGTAATTTTAGGTAGTAGTCCTGGGTTGGGTTTTCCATTTTTGGTGGATTTAAGCCATCTGTCCGGGATTGGAGTCCGCATCAGTGCTCAAGATGTCGAAGCGCAGGGATTTATTCCTCTGTGAGAAGATCATGTTCCTGGACAAGGTTAAATTGCACGTTGAAGAATATATGACTCGAACTCCTGCCACTGAATGTGACGTCGATCATCCTGCCGATGGACCAGGGTGTCATCTAGAATCTGAAGACTCTTTACAGGAAGGAAGTTGTGCAGATAACTCCTGCAGATATCGAAGACAACCTGATGAGCCAGTCGTCTGTGGGCATTGACGTGAGTTCTCAGGTCTCGCTCCTCGACGCCGTTCGCTTTGTGGCTAAGAGCTGGTGGGTTGTCAAGTCAGAGACCATCGCAAACTGCTTCTGTAGGACTGGCTATCATCCTGGACCAGAGGTGCCAGTGTCGACCTTTGAGGAAGGTTCAGTCATTCTTGATGTCATTAATAAAGAAGCCTAACTCAACATCGACGAACACGCACCATGCTTTGCCG